TGTCCATTGTCATGCGCGAACTCTTTTGACACTAGTTCATCAATCTCAACTTGAGTATAATCACATCGGAGGGGAAGCAGGTGTGGACAAGAGGCCGCGGCCGGATGTGGTGGGACCTCTCGTGGTTAACCCCGAGGTCGTGCCACAGGAGTTGATTGTTGTGTGGGGATTGGATGGGGAGAGGGAGGACAGGCAGTTGGTGGTGGAGCCGGAAATATCATTGCATGTGGTTGCGCAGGAGATGGCCGGCCCAGACCAGGTTCTGGAGGATGGCAACATGGTTGGTGGGAGACACGAGGTGGGGCTGCTGGCTACGGTGGGACAGCTGGTGCGGATGGAGGTTGGTGCGTTGGGACCCTCCCCGGACGGCGTGAAGCAGGATGGGGTGGACCGGTCGCCAGATTCCAGGCAGGCGGCCCCGCAACTGACTGCGGATCGGATTTCGCCTATGATTGAGGAACAGATCCCGGGAAGCGTGGAGCGGGATATGGAGCTGGGATAAGTGGCGTCTTCTCAAGGGGGCAGGGAGTTGGAGGCGGATCAGCACGTTGGTTTGGACATGCAAAACCAGATTCAGGCATGCACGACAAGGATGATACCTCAGGAGGCTGTGGCTTACGGCAAGCTTAAGTGGTTTTGTAATGCATTAGTGTGTAAGTTGGCTCCCCCGCTTCTCATGGAGGTGCAATCGTCGCTTAGGCCAGAAGTTGAACCTTTCACTCCTCGACGAACGACCAGGGGATCTAAGAGGGCTCCAGCAAGCAAATTGTGCAAGGCGACTCAGGCAGAGAACGTGCTCATGCGGGCGCTTGGCATTGTTCCGGAGGATTTGGATGGCAATGAGGATAACATTGCCGAGTTGGCTGAGATCTTTGATTCACCATTAAAGGAGCAGCACATTCGAGTCATCGCTGCTTTGTTCGGGAAGGAGATGCCATCGGTGAGAGACATGGCAGTTGGATCCTCGGTAGTGTTGGGAGCGGCGTGAGTTATGTGGGGTGTTCTTCCTGGGTGGTGCCAATTGGGTTTCGATGGATTGAAACCCTAAGGTACTTTGTTGGAACGTGCGGGGGCTTAATAACCCGGCCAAAAGGAATGCGGTGAGGGAGTTTGTGGGAGAGGCTAAGGTTAACATTGTAGGTCTACAAGAGATGAAGCTCGATGTAATTGACTCTTATATTGCTATGCAAAGTTTGGGGCCATCTTTTGATGACTTCGCTTACGTGCCGGCGGTGGAGACCCGAGGGGGTATTCTATTGGGGTGGGACTTGACGGTGTTGAGCATTGATAACATTGTAGTGGACTCCCATGCGATCATGGGGAGGGTTCACTCCAAGGATGGCTTTGATTGGTGGGTGACGGTGGTCTACGGTCCACAAGGGGACGAGGCGAAGATGCAGTTTCTTGTTGAACTACATAACAGAAGGGCAATGTGCCCGGGGCCTTGGATGTTGCTTGGCGATTTTAACATGATTCTGAGGGTGGACGAGAAGAGCAACAATAATTTGAACCGTAGGATTATGAGGAGTTTCAAGGAATTCGTGGATGATTGTGAGCTCAAGGAACCTTACCTACATGGAAGGAGATTTACGTGGTCTAATGAAAGAGAGCAACCAGTGCTCACAAAAATAGATCGGGTATTGATATCGGTGGATTGGGAGCTTGCCTACCCGAAGATGTTGTTGCAAGCGTTGAGCTCTAACATTTCGGACCATGCACCATTGCACCTTACAACCTCGGCGCCTTTTTGTGCGAAGAAGAGATTTCATTTTGAGATGTGTTGGCTCAAGCTGGATGGGTTCGAGCAAACGGTTCGAGATGCCTGGGTGTGCCCTCACGAGATCTTTGACCCGTTTAAGAGACTGGATTTCTTACTTCGCAAAACGGCGACCGCCCTTCAGGCATGGGGTCAGAAGAAGATGGGTAACATTAGAATCCAGTTAGCCATTGCGAACTACATTATCCTAAAGATGGATCGGGCGATGGAAGATCGTGACCTTTCGGCAGAAGAGAGATGGCTTCGGGGCAGTTTAAAGCATGCGCTGTTGGGCTTGGCCTCCTTGCAGCGGACTATTGAAAGGCAGATATCGCGCCTTAAGTGGATCAGGGAGGGGGACGCAAATACTAAACTTTTCCAGGCGGTGGCTAATGGACGTCGCTCCAAGAATTTTATCCCTCATGTGAGATACAATGGTGAACTGATTGTAGATCAGAGGCGGAAGGAAGACATCTTTTTGGAGGCCTATGAGCAGCTACTCGGTACTGCTCATGCGAGGAAGGCAGATGTGGATCTCGAGTTCTTAGACATGGAGACTCATGATTTGTCCGAGCTGGATGAGATCTTCACGGAGGAAGAAGTGTGGAACACCATCAAAGAGTTACCTCCGGATCGAGCACCAGGACCGGACGGCTTTATTGCAGCTTTTTACCAGAAGGCGTGGCACATCATAAAGTATGATGTCATGGCAGTGCTAATGAAGTTTTTTGTGGGGGACGGAAGAGGTTTCAACAAGCTTAACCGAGCGCACATTGTGCTCATCTCGAAGAAGCTGAAAGCCGAGGAGGTGGGGGATTTTCGTCCCATTAGCCTCACCCACAGTGTTGCGAAGATCTTCGCTAAGCTGCTCGCGAATAGAGTCAGGAGGAGGATGAAGGAGATCGTGACGGCGAACCAATCGGCTTTCATTTGTGGGAGACACTTACATGACAATTTCATTTTGGTGAGACAAGTGGCTAGGAAGATACATGCACCGAAGGAGGCGAGAGTGTTTCTAAAATTAGACATATCCAGAGCGTTTGATTCGCTCGCTTGGCCATTCTTGTTCAAGGTGCTAGCTCACAAGGGATTTGGTGACAAATGGATGACATGGGTTTCCATACTTCTCAAAACAGCTAACACGAAAGTATTGGTGAATGGATGTCCGGGAAGAAGCTTTGATCATGTCCAGGGACTAAGGCAAGGGGATCCGGTGTCTCCGTTGTTGTTTGTCATTGCGATGGACGTGTTGTCCAAGATCATGTCAAAGGCTGCGAGTATGGGAGTGATGAGCAAATTCACTGGGATCTCGGCGGACCAAAGTGTATCTATCTATGCCGACGATGTGGCGCTGTTCGTTAAGCCCACGGTGATGGATCTGAGGTTTGTGAAGGAAGCACTATGGGTGTTTGGGGAGGCGTCGGGGCTGAAGATCAACTATCAAAAATCTTTGGCGGTTTTGATTCAAGGAGATGCTCAGGACAGGAGGCGTGTGGAGGCTATCCTGTAATGTGAGGTGGGGAATTTCCCTTGCAAATACCTCGGGCTTCAGTTGGCGATCCACCAGCTTACTAGGGCAGAGTGGCAGCCCCTGTTAGATCAAGCGAAGAAGGCAGCCCCGGCATGGCAACGAGGGCTAATTCAGAGGTCGGGCCGGCTGGTGTTGGCCAAGTCTGTGATTGCAGCTAAACCCATTCACCATTTCATGATTGCGGAAGCTCCCAAGTGCGTATTGGAAGAGATCAACCAATGGATGAGAGCGTTCTTTTGGGCGGGCAAGGATAAGGTAAACGGTGGACAGTGCTTGGTGGCCTGGAGTACGATTTGCAGACCCACATATTTGGGTGGGTTGGGTGTCAGAGATTTGGAATTGCAAGGTCTTGCGTTGAGAGTGAGATGGGAATGGCTTAAGAGGACGGATCCCACGAGGCCATGGCAGGGTCTGACCATGCTGGAGGACAGAGATGCCAGAGAGGTTTTTGACAGTCTAGTCAAGATCGATGTGGGAGATGGCAGTAAGGTCCTGTTCTGGAGGTATAGATGGATTCATGGCTTTGCGGTAGTGGATATCGCACCTTTACTGCATAGCATGGTTGATACCCGTACCAGGAACCGGCACACGGTGAGAGACGCGTTGGAGAATAGCAGATGGCTGCAGGATATGGTTGGTGTTCTCACATTCATGGGGCATATGCAGCTAGTGCACCTCAATCTGGTTATTAGTACACTGCCTAGGGAGGCAGCCAGGGCAGACTGTTTCTCTTGGCCGGCTGATCCGTCGGGGATATATACTGCGAGATCGACGTACTATCGTTTGTGTCAGGGGATTGAGCAGGTGGCGTATGCTTCTTGCATCTGGAAGAACTGGGCGCCCCTCAAGTGCAAATCTTCATCTGGTTGGCTATACAGCACCGCATCTGGACTTCGGACCGGAGACCTAGGCCTGGGCTGCAAGACCGCCCTTCAAACTGCTTCACATGCTTACAAGACGAAGACAACGCTGAACACATTGATCCAATGTGTTTATGCTAGGGAAGTGTGGCACAGATGCTTACATGAGCTTAACTTGGCCGTGGTATGACCGACCAGAGAGGATGAGTTACTGCACTGGTGGCTGGAGACAAGGAGAGGGTTTCGGAAACATCTCAAGAGAGGTTTCGACTCGATGGTGACAGCGGTGGCTTGAGCCTTGTGGAAACAACGCAACGCGTGTGTTTTCAATAGAACAGCCCAACAGCTAGCCCCTTCGGAGCTAGTGGAAGTGATCTTAAGAGATATTCGCGAGTGAAGGGATGCAGGTCTAGGGGTAGGAGGGTTGTCACGCTTTGTGAGAGAGTAGGATTGTAATGGTGTTGGGTGCGTCCGGGTGTTGCCAAGGAGGGGCGATCATCTCCTCTTTGGCCTCTCTTGTAAATTTGTTGCTCCCCTTCTATAAAATTAAGGTACGCGATTTGCGTACTCTCGAAAAAAAATATAATCACATCTCATAAAAAAACTTCATATAATCACGACAGAAAATCATGTGTGCTTCCTTTTTTTTAGGGAAATGTGTGCTTCCCTCGTGCGCTTTACACGTCCCAGTCACTCACTCACGCCCAAGAAGTCACTCACTCACGCCCAAGACAAAACCACGGCACACATAATACCTCGTGAGTTGTACGTGTCGAGGCCTCGCGCACCAAACACAACTCCGAAAGCCAAATTTATCTCTGCCCTCTCGACACGTACGCGATTGCTGCTGAGGATGGCGGAGGCAAAGGCGGCGCCGCTGCTGGCGCGGGAGGACGGGGGCGCCGCCGCCGAGGGATCCGGGCGCGGCGGCGGAGCGACGTGGGCGCAGACGCTGGGAAACGTGGTGGTGTCCATCGTCGGCACGGGGGTGCTGGGCCTGCCCTACGCCTTCCGCGCCGCCGGCTGGCTCGCGGGAACCCTCGGAGTCGCCGCCGCCGGCTGCGCCACGCTCTACTGCATGCTCCTCCTCGTCAGTATCTACCCAAATTTGCTTGGCATCTTACTCTTTTGTTTCTCTCCCGCTGATTATCTGGGTTTAAGCCAAAGAATATTGGAGCTGCAATGCATTCTGTCTATATGCAGATTGGGTGAACTGTTCATGATAAACTGGATGACGTTCGTGCTTAAACTTCCAAGTATTGTGATGATTTGAAGATCTCAATCGCCATTAGTAGTGCAGAAAATACAGTTTACCCACAAATTATTTGTGTGGCTCTGTTCCTCTCTCATCTTTTTTTTTTGAGCTCGCTTAACCCCTTAAGTATCCAATGAAAAAAATAGAGGGTTCTAAGCATTGTCTCGTTATGAAATCGGTGGACAATCGTTCGCTATAACGTGATATACCGTCACTATATTGGATTTTAAGGATTGCGCTATTTTGTTCCCCCGGAAGTATCATGTCTTGGACGATTTTACCCTTAGTTGGTTTCTGAAAGAACAATAATGTGCATATATACAAAAAAAAACTCATACATGTATCTACGAGATGAAATATCAACGTGTAAATTTTTGTTAATGAGTATGATTATTTGCCATGCGTGCAAAAATAAAAATAAATGAGGTATTTTCCTACAAGTGGATTTTTGGCTCTTGGGATCGCATGATCTCTTTATTCCAAAATATTCAAAAACTGAGTTAAAAAGTTTTATATTAGAGTGAGTCATGTAACAAGTTTTTGTAAAGACGAATTCAAACCGGGTTTAAGAAAAAACTAAAGAGACTAGAATACCGTTTTCACATTGTGAAAGAAAACTTTGCTTTGTTATTTATCCACAGTTCACCCATCTGTTGTGTTTTTCTCAGAACTTCAAATTGAGTCATTTACATTTGAGATTCATTTTGAATTTTTTGGGATGAGTGCATTTTTTGATTTTTAAAGCGGAATGTGACCCCGAGAGCCAAATGTTATTTATTTATTTTTCTGAACAGGCCCTAAATGGTTAAACATGTGTATTCTACTTTTCCTGTTGCTCGTTGAGCATGCTCAATGCTTTCAGTTGGACTAAGCCTAAGAACTTTATTTGGCTTAGTTCACAATAATTGGCACTACTTTTATGGTGATTTTTTTTGTGTGCATTATGACGAATCTTTTACTCTTATAAACTGACCAACTTTACTTTTGACGAATGCATTACCATTTTTCAGCTGTGTAATTTAATTGGTGTATTTTCTATCTGAAGGTGGAGTGTAGAGATAAACTGGAAGAGGAAGAAACAGAAGAGCCATGTGATGTTCTCTACACATACGGGGATTTGGGTCAGAAGTGTTTTGGGACAATCGGTCGATGCTCGACAGAAATCTTCATCTTCCTTTCTCAAGCCGGCGGTTCTGTTGCTTACCTGATATTCATTGCTCAGAATCTCCACTCCATGCTTACCCAGTTCATGTCACCAGACGGCTTCATCTTTGCCGTCCTCCTGCCTATGCAAATTGCACTCTCCTTCGTTCGCTCGCTGTCCTCCCTTTCACCTTTCAGCATATTTGCAGATGCATGCAATGTCCTAGCGATGGCCATAGTTATCAAAGAGGACATACGGCTTTTCGACCATCCATTTGCTGATAGAAGTGCTTTTAATGGGCTTTGGGCGATACCTTTCTCTTTTGGGGTTGCACTTTTCTGCTTTGAAGGGTTCAGCATGACTCTGGCACTGGAAGCATCGATGGCGGAACGGAAAAAATTCAAATGGGTGCTTTCTCAAGCACTTGTATGTATCATGTTTGTGTATGCATGTTTTGGAGTGTGCGGATACTTGGCTTATGGTGAAGCCACCAAGGACATCGTAACACTTAATCTTCCCAACAGCTGGTCTTCTTCTGCAGTTAAGGTTAGTCCACTTTTTGTAACTTATTTGGTGTGATCAGATTTGAATTTGCTGAAGTAATGACGGTTGTACCAAGCTAACAGTTGGAAGATTTAAATTTTACAGATTGGCCTATGCATTGCACTAGCATTCACATTTCCGGTCATGATGCACCCGATCCATGAGATCGTTGAGGCGAGAATCAGATCGAGTCAGTGCTTTCAGAAGTTTTCACAGAATGTCGGTGGCCCCAATTGGTTAGCCTTGCACGCAAGCCGCATCATGGTGGTGACCATCCTTGCTGTGGTGGCATCGTACGTGCCTGCATTTGGGGCCTTCATCGCCTTCGTCGGGAGCACGGTGTGTGCTCTGCTCGCTTTCGTGCTGCCTACTGCCTTCCATCTCAGCATTGTGGGGTCTTCGATGAGCTTGTGGCGACGCCTGCTGGACTACGGTTTCCTTCTCTTTGGCCTTGTTTTTGCTGTCTATGGAACCTTCACTGCTCTCTAACTTGTCACATTGACCAAGATCAAAATGGCCAAGAACTATGCTGGTGTGTACAGGTCAGGTGCAATTATAAACCACATGACAAATTCTAATGCACATGAGAGAAAGCAATAGAAAAGAAACACCATCTATAAGAAGACGACGAAAAGAAAAAAATGGATTTGAGAGATTATTCAAGAAAATGTTCATCAGGATTGGACTCGAAGGAAGCCTAGCTGTAAGGCACAAAGATCTACTAGAATCCCGAGGTGATTATTTTGAGCCTCGATTTGGAATTTCAGGTAGCGCATGGTAGCTTATGTTACGAGTACTAAGCAGTAGGGTGCTTTGCTGCGCCGAAAGATCGCCTCAAAAAATTGATGGCATTTTCAGTTATTTGAAATAAGAACATGCAGTTTCACTAGAGTAAGAGTTTAGTCGTATAAAAACGAGGAAGGATCCTTGGGGCATTCTCCCCCCAATGTTTAGTTAAAATGAGGATGTGGTGAATTCAATCTACAATTTTTTGCTGTGGCTGCATAGGTGTTCTGAAAAGGGACCAACATGATAGCTTGCACAATCGGATTTTAAGAATATAAGGGTGCATCTGCATCCGAGGTGGACAGTAAATTCATTTAAAATAGTAAAAGAATTCAAAAACAATTGAATTCTTTTTGTGATGCTAGATGCTCATGTGCGTGAAGTCCGTGCCAAATTTAGTGGAATATCCGTATAAGGGTCTCATGAGCTAGAGGTTAAGGCTCTGCGGAAGAAAACCGTCTCCCGAGTCCCAACAGAACAAATGCAGTACATATTTCAGAGAGAACCATACTTGCACACATTTAAAACCCTTGAATGAGAATAAGAAATTAATGTATAAGCGAACTTTGGGATTCAAGTAAGTTATATAGATCATTAAGAAATGTTAGACAAACGGAAGTTTTGATGTGTACCCCCATTAGAGTTTGTTCACTTCTTTGCTTAAATAACTCCATCTTCTCAACAAATAAATTTGTATGTCCACAATGTTGAAATATAGGGTGGGCTTTAGGCCCATCCAACAATTTCAGAAAATCTCTGAGAGCCCATGTCGGTGTCATGACAAGAGATGTGGTGGCGAACCAACATGTGGTTGGATGGCTAGAGTACAGTGGTATCCCGGCCCACTAGAGTTCAAGTCCTAGACTTGAAATTGATGCTTGCATTTTTTGGATTTATTTCAGGCCTTCCAGCGATGTGCGTTCCGTCTTCCGTGTGAGGAGACGTTTCCGTCGACGACGAAGGTGTCTATGGCAACTTCGTCAATCTCAAGATGATGTGTCAGCCCAGTCTCTCGGAGGTTCATGGTGATAGGGTGTGCATGTGTGCGTTCATAGAGGTGAGTGTATGCTCGTGTATGTGAGCGACTTCGATTCTATAGTGTATAAAAAGGACATGACATGTGGTAGGAAGTTTAGTACCACTCCGCGTGTGGAGAAAGAGTTGGACCCTCTTTATAAGAAATTCTCTTCTACACGCTATTGGGGCTTGAGAAGAGAAGTGGTTCTCGAGTGCTCTTCCTGAGCATACTTCACATTATTGGTGAGCTCAGTTCATAAAAATAAGCAATTCAACCATTCAGTGGGTAAATCAAAAGCGCCACTGGAATATTTTTCACTGCCCCAATCTGTTGGGAAACGTTGCATGAAAAAAAAAATCTATGCACACACAATGATCTATCCATGGAGATGCATAGCAACGAGGGGGAGAGTGTGTCTACGTACCCTCGTAGACTGTAAGCGGAAGCGTAACACGGTTGATGTAGTCGAACTTCGCGCTCCATCGATCGAGTACCAAACGTACGACACCTCCGAGTTCTGCACACGTTCAGTTCGGTGACGCCCCTCGCCTTCTTGATCCAGCAAGGTGTCGAGGTAGTAGATGAGTTCCGTCAGCACGACGACATGGTGACTGTGATGGTGAAGTGATCCACGCAGGGCTTCTCCTAGGCACTACGAAGATATGACCGTGGGAGTAAATGGTGGAGGTGGGCGCCGCACACGGCTAGGCAATTGTCTGGGGTGTGCTAGGGACGCCTCGACATATATATAGGTGGGAGGGAGAGGGAAGGCAGCCAGGGTGCGCCCCAAGTAGGATCCGAATCCTACTTGTGGTTTCCCTAAGTGGCGCCCCCCTTCCATATTTCATCGGAGAAGAAAGGGAAGGGGAAAGAGAGAAAGGAAAGGGGGCCGAACCCCCTTTTTCCTTCTCCCAATTCGGCCTCCTGCCATAGGGGGGGAGCCACCCCTTGTGGGCTGGTGTGCTCTCCTCTCATGGCCCATATGACCCATATATTCCCCCTAGGGTTTCCGGTAACCCCTCTAGTACTCCGATAAATACCCGATACACTCTGGAACACTTCACGTGTCCGAATACTATCGTCCTATATATCAATCTTTACCTCTCGACCATTTTGAGACTCCTCGCCATGTCCGTGATCTCATCCAGGACTCCGAACAACATTCAATCACCAAATCACATAACTCATATAATACAATATCGCTGAATGTTAAGCATGCGGACCCTATGAGTTCGAGAACTATGTAGAGATTACCCGAGACACCTCTTCGGTCAATAACCAATAGCAGAACCTGGATGCTCATATTGGCTCCTACATATTCTATGAAAACCTTTATCGGTCGAACCGTTATGACAACATATATTGTTCCCTTTGTCCATTGGTATGTTACTTGCCCAAGATTCGATCGTCGATATCTTCATACCTAGTTCAATCTCGTTACCGGCAAGTCTCTTTACTCGTTCCGTAATACATCACCTCATGACCAACTCCTTAGTCATTTGCTTGCAAGCTTATGATCTGCATTACCAAGAGGGCCCAGAGATACTCTCCGATACTCGAAGTGACAATTCATAATCTTGATCTATGCCAACCCAACAAACACCTTCAGAGATACCTGTAGAGCATCTTTATAATCACCCAGTTATGTTGTGACAGTTGGTAGCACACAAGGTATTCCTCCGGTATCCGGGAGTTGCATAATCTCATAGTCAAAGGAACATGTATTTGACATGAAGAAAGCAATAGCAATAAACTGAACGATCATTATGCTAAGCAAACGGATGGGTCTTGTCTATCACATCATTCTCCTAATGATGTGATCCCGTTATCAAATGACAACACATGTCCATGGTTAAGAAACCTGAACCATCTTTGATAAATGAGCTAGTCTAGTAGAGGCTTACTAGGGACACGGTATTTGTTTATCTATTCACACATGTATTTAAGTTTCTGATCAATACAATTATAGCATGAATAATAAACCTTTATCATGAATAAGGAAATATAAAATAAGAACTTTATTATTGCCTCTAGGGCATATTTCCTTCAGTCTCCCACTTGCACTAGAGCCAATAATCTAGTTCACATCATCATGTGATTAACACCCATAGTTCACATCGCCATGTGACCAATACCCAAAGAGTTTACTAGAGTCAATAATCTAGTTCACATCGCCATGCGATTAACACCCAAAGAGTACTAAGGTGTGATCATGTTTTGCTTGTGAGAGAGGCTTAGTCAACGGGTCAGTCACATTCAGATCCGTATGTATATTGCAAATTTCTATGTGTACAATACTCTGCATGGAGCTACTCTAGATAATTGCTCCCACTTTCAATATGTATCCAGATTGAGACTCTAGGTCATCTGGATCAATGTTAAAGCTTGCATCGATGTAACCCTTTACGACGAACTCTTTATCACCTCCATAGCCGAGAAACATTTCCTTAGTCCTCTTAGGTAAATAAGGATAATTTTGACCGCTGTCCAGTGATCTACTCCTGGATCACTATTGTACCCCCTTACCAAACTCATGTCAATGTACACAACAGGTTTGTTACACAACATGGCATACTTTATAGAACCTATGGCTGAGGCATAGGAAATGACTTTCATTCTCTCTCTATCTTGTGCCATGGTCGGGCTTTGAGTGTTACTCAACTTCACACCTTACAATACAGGCTAGAACTCCTTCTTTGACAGATCCATTTTGAACTCCTTCAAAATATTGTCAAGGTATGTACTCATAGAAGCATCTTGTTCTATCTCTATAGATCTTGATGCCCAATATGTAAGCAGCTTCACCGAGGTCTTTCATTGAAAAATTCTTATTCAAGTTCCTTTTATGCTACCCAGAAATTCTATATCATTTCTGATCAACAATATGTCATCCACATATAATATCAGAAATGCTACAGAGCCCCCCCTCACTTTCTTGTAAATACAGGCTTCACCATAAGTATGTATAAAACCATATGCTTTGATTACCTCATCAAAGCGTATATCCCAACTCCGATATGCTTGCACCAGTCCATAGATGGATCGCTGGAGTTTGCACACTTTGTTAGCACCTTTAGGATTGACAAAACCTTCTGGTTGCATCATATACAACTCTTCTTTAAGAAATCCATTAAGGAATGCAGTTTTGACATCCATTTGCCAGATTTCATAATTATAAAATGCGGCAATTGCTAACATGATTCAGACTGACTTAAGCATCACTACGGGTGAGAAGGTCTCATCATAGTCAACTCCTTGAACTTCTTGAAAACCTTTCGCAACAAGTCGAGCTTTGTAGATGGTGACATTACCATCATCGTCTGTCTTCTTCTTGAAGATCCATTTATTCTCAATGGCTTGCCGATTATCGGGCAAGTCCACCAAAGTCCACACTTTGTTCTCATACATGGATCCCATCTCAGATTTCATGGCCTCAAGCCATTTATCAGAATCTGGGCTCATTGCTTCTTCATAGTTTGTAGGTTTGTCTTGTTCTGGTAACATGACTTCCAGAACAAGATTACTGTACCACTCTGGTGCGGATCATGCTCTGGTTGACCTACGAGGTTCAGTAGTAACTTGATCTGAAGTTTCATGATCATCATCATTAGCTTCCTCTCTAGTTGGTGTACGCATCACGAGAACAGATTTCTCTGATGTGCTACTTTCCAAATTGAGAGAAGGTACAATTACCTCATCAAGTTCTACTTTCCTCCCACCCACTTCTTTCTAGAGAAACTCCTTCTCTAGAAAGGATCCATTCTTAGCAACAAAGATCTTGCCTTTCGGATCTGTGGTAGAAGGTGTACCCAATTGTTTCCTTAGGGTATCCTATGAAGACACACTTCTCCGATTTGGGTTCGAGCTTATCAGGCTGAAGCCTTTTGACATAAGTGTCGCAACCCCAAACTTTAAGAAATGACAGCTTAGGTTTCTTGCCAAACCACAGTTCATACGGTGTCATCTCAATGGATTTAGAAGGTGTCCTATTTAATGTGAATGCGGCTGTCTCTAATGCATAACCCAAAAACGATAGTGGTGAATCGGTAAGAGACATCATAGAATGCACCATATCTAATAAAGTACAATTACGATGTTCGAACACACCATTACTCTATGGTGTTCCAGGTGGCGTGAGTTGTGAAACTATTCCACATTGTTTTAAACGAAGGCCAAACTCGTAACTCAAATATTTGCTTCCGCGATCAGATCATAGAAACTTTATTTTCTTGTTATGATGATTCTCTAGTTCACTCTGAAATTTTTGAACCTTTTCAAATGTTTCAGACTTGTGTTTCATCAAGTAGATATACCCATACCTACTTAAATCATCTTTGAAGGTGAGAAAATAACGATACCCGCCGCATCCTCAATACTCATCGGACCGCATACATCGGTATGTATTATTTCCAATAAGTCATTAGCTCGCTCCATTGTTCTGGAGAACAGAGTTTTAGTCATCTTGCCCATGAGGCATGGTTCGCAAGTATCAAATGAATTCCAAAAGTCCATTTGCATGGAGTTTCTTCATGCGCTTTACACCAATATGACTTAAACGGCAGTGCCACAAGTATGTTGCACTATCATTATCAACTTTGCATATTTTGGCATCAAGTTTATGAATATGTGTATCACTACGATCAAGATTCAATAAACCATTTACATTCAGTGTATGACCATGTTTTATTCATGTAAACAGAACAACAATTATTCTCTGACTTAGATGAATAACTGTATTGCAATAAACATGATCCAATCATATTCATGCTCAACGCAAACATCAAATAACATTTATTTAGGGTCAACACTAATTCTGAAGGTAGAGGGAGTATGCGATGGTGATCTTATCAACCTTGGAATCACTTCCAACACACATCGTCACCTCGCCTTTAACTAGCCTCTGTTCATTTTGCAACTCCTGTTTCAAGTCACTAATTTTAGCAACTGAACCGGTATCAAATACCCAGGGGCTACTAT